CTACAACATGGCCACCACTCTTCAACAACCAAACTACAACTCATCTCTTCCGGTGAGCTTGTGATATGTTTACATTTTTGCAGGAGCGCCCATTGGACAGAACTCCAAAACTTCCAGGGGTTTCCACCCCTTGGGGTCTACCACTTTTCTAGCCTCTGGGGGAAAACAAGATTCAAACCATGACATTTAGTTTCCCTGGTACTGCTCAGTGAGACAAAGGGAAACCTTGTGGAATTGGAAGATATGTTCAGACCCTGCTTGGGCTGGGTCTCATATTTGCAAAACCCTGCCAAAAACGCCCTGTTTGAGCTCTCTGTGAATGCACAGCAGTGTGAGTGATGTCCCAAAGGGAGTCTTTGAGCACATGGTCCTTTTATTGCCTACTGACAGGTTTAATTGCAGATCCTAGGTGATAGAGGGGGTTGGATTTATTTTTGCGAAGCTCCTACAGGAGTGGTGGCTCACAGAGAAGAAAATCTCTTCAAGTCAAACTGAGTGTATTCTTAGTGTTTCACATTTGTATTTTCTGGTAGTAGTGAAATGTTCTTCATGTTGTCTTCATGGGTTTTTTCTCTTGTAGATGCTTTGTTGTCAAGTCCTGACAGAGCATAAGAAGATACAACAGGTATGTGTAACACCAGATCTGTCGGACGTGGAAACCACTGAATCTGGCTCAAGGCTATTGTAAAGCCAAAGAGATGAAATTCTAAACTCTCCAGAAGTGTTTGCATGCCCTAATTTTCTTTTTATCTTTCCTTTATAGTTTAGCCCCATCTACTCTGAATTGAAGAAGAAATGTCAGTACCTACACAGCAAGCTGTCTCACATTAAGAGACTAATCCAAGAATTTGACAAACAGCAAGAGGAGTCCTGTAACCAGTCATCTGCTTTGGCCGGGACACATCTATGAGCTGTGGCATATTTATTTAGTTCCCCTAGGATTCTTTCTCTTAATAGTGAACATTAGTTTGTTTGTTTAAAACTGAAGATTAGCTTCTATAGGATTATATAAGTTAGTATTGAGCAGTAGGTTGTTTATTTAAAAAACAATATGCAGTTCCTTTAATAGTATGTAAGATAGTATTTCATGTTTTCATTAAAGAAGTTTCAGTATTGTTAACTCCTTGTGGCGGTGTTGCTTATATCATATTCGAAGCTGCTTTTTTCTGGACCCTCTTTTTCTTCGAGGCTCAGGCTGTCCATTGAAAGAATTTTACCAGCAGATGCTGGGGACCCAGTACTTCTATTATGAACTTGTGCACATTTAAAAAAAAATATCGTAATAAATAAAATACTTTAGAATAAGTACAAGCCTGTTTTCTGACCTCTCTGGTTAATGTAAACTCTTGGCCTTATGTGGTAGAAATTTGGGCAAACTCCCCAAAAATCACCGTGTTATGAAGAGACGTCATTTGGGCTGCTCTGCACTGTCAGTTGAAGCAGTTCACAGGTCTGCTTTAAAGTCTTGGATTCCCCTTAACAGTGAGCCAAGTAATATCCAGATCCTTTGGAAGTGATTTGTAAAACACATAGACACGTGTTGAGGCAAAGTACTTCAACAGATTTTATACACAAGTTGGGTTAAAGTGTCACAGTAGAAACTTTACCCATTTGTTAGCTTTGTTAAAAATAGTCTGTCAGAACCAGTCTTTCTAGAGCCACAAATGTTGATTCCTGCACAGATCTGTGGTGACTCTGAAGTCTAATTCTTTCCCTGAGTTTACTACCATTTGTTGCTTTAACTCATGGGGGAGAGGTGTGTCCTAAGCTTCTTTTGGGGAAGGATATGAAACTGACTGAGGGAGGACAGTAATTGGGAACATTATAACAGGGCTGTGGATCCACCTTTCTTCCTTGGAGAGTAGTTTAAAAACAACTTCCTCAATTGTCTCCCTGCAAACTGTGTTAAGCCCCTGTATGTGACACTTCCTGGGGTGTTTTGTGATTGAACACGTGAGCCGTTGTTGCCCTTCTGTTCTCCATCAACTGAAGTCCAATAAAACGTTAACTCTTAAATGTTGAGACTTTGGTCTCTTTTTGGCTGGAGGCAGGGGGTGCTCCTACCCCTCTGCAAGGAAGCATCAGAACAAAGGCTGCTGTGGGGAGCGAGGGGTGAATTCTGCTGCAGTGATGCCTCCTCTCGCCCTGACATTCTGACCTGCTGCTGATTGTCAGAGCCTGCAACATGCTGCGAACCTTTTAAAAATAAAACTTTAATCAGAACTCCATCTTCCAACCCAGTCGACCCACTGTACTTGGGTGAAGTGCTGCTGCCTTTGGCGTTTGTGTTCTCCCTTTTGCAACCTGAGGCTTCTGGAGCAGACCAGATCTGGCTGATATGTTTGTCTTCATGCTGACACCACTTTCTGCAGCATTTTGTAAGAAAGAGTGGACTTCTAAAGACTGCAAATACTATGTTACTTGCTCTCCACCAGCAGAGCTTCCACTGCTATCACTGACAATCATATGAAGTTGAAGAAGGGGAAGTGCCAGTTTCTGTACCTGGGATGGGACAACCCTGTACAGATTGGGGAATCAGATGCTGGAAAGCTGTGCCAGGAAAGCGACCTAGGGGTCCTGGTTCACGCTAAGTTGATTATGAGTCAGTACTGCCCTGGCAGCCAGGAGGGCCAACCGTGTCCTGGAGGGCATCAGGCAAAGCATCGCCAGCCAGGAGAGGGAGGGGATTGTCCTGCTCTGCTCTGATCTGATCTGGGGCAGCCTCACTTTGAATATTGTGGCAGTTTTGGGCACCACAATCTGAGAACGATATTAAGCCATTAGAGAGTGTCCAAAGGAGGGAAGTGAAGGTGGTGAAGGGCCTTGAGGGGAAGCCATATGAGGAGTGGCTGAGGGTACTTGGTCTGTTCAGCTGGAGGAGTCTGCGGGGAGACTTCACTGCAGTTACAACTTCCTGGGGAGGGGAAGGGGAGGGGCAGGCACTGATCTTTTCTCTGTGGTGACCAGTGACAGGACCCAAGGGAATGGCCTGCAGTTGTGTCAGGGGAGGTTTAGGTTGGATATTAGAAAAGGTTCTTCCCCCAGAGGGTGATTGGGTGCTGGAACAGACTTTGCCAGGGCAGTGGTCACAGCATCAAGGCTGAAAGAGTTGAAGATGATACTCCAGGCATGTGGTGTGACTCTTGGGGATGATCCTGTGCAGGGCTAGGGATTGGACTCAATGACCCCTGTGGGTTCCTTCCAACTTGGCATATTCTATGATTCTGTGATTCTGTGAGTCAATTACGCTGTAAACTCCCAGGGGCAATTGGTTTGTCTTGTTTCTTCAGAGATAATGAACCTACAAGGCCATTAACAGCTTTTGCTTCTCAGCAACCTGTTTCAGCTCTAAATCACAGAATGGTTTTGGGTTGGAAGGAGCCTTAAAGCTCATATTGTTCCAACCCTCTGCCATGGGCAGGGACATCTCCCACTAGCCCAGGTTGCTCCAAGCCCTGTCCAACCTGGCGTTGGACACTTCCAGGAATGGGGCACCCACAGCTTTTCTGTGCAAACTGTGCCAGTGCCTCACCACACTCACAGTCAAGAACTTCTTCGTAATATCTAAGCCAAATATGAAGCAAACTTTGATAAAGAGTACATTGCCTCTCATGGCTTCCAGAGTACAAACCTTGACAGGGCCATTGATACCAAAACCAGCATAAAATTAACTGCTCAGAGACAGCTTTGAGTCTTTAAGCAGCAAAGGTATTTATTTTGAGCAATGTTGGGGAGTCTAGCCAGCTCACGCTGGACAAACTAGCTCCAAAGTTCTCAGTGACAAGTCAGGCAATTTATACATTTTTGGTGAGGGATTATAATATTTTGCATTAATATTCATTACAGTTACATCATCTAGTTATAATATTTATATCTAGCAGGGTTCAGGTGGAGCTTGAGGCAGACTCATCCTTTTGGGTAAGTTCTTGAGGGTCATTCTGGCTTCTTCGGCCTCATGGAGGGTCGTTTTCTTGCCCCTCATCATCATGAACTTTTCAACTCTTCCTGACTATGTGCGAAAGTCTTACTAAAAACCCCTTTACTCAGCTCTCCAACCCCCCCAAATGTCCATCTTATCTAATTTATGACTACTAGGCTAACCTTTTTGTTATATTTCATTAGGATAGAGCATACCAAGGACAAACAGGCCTCTCGGAGCCTGATACCTTCTCTCCCTTAATTAATCTCATAACACATGTTTTCTGTCTCTGTCATTACAACCTAAATGCAGCATTCCTCAAAGTGGTATCTGTGAGCCTCTCCTCGGAGCAGGATTTTAGCCTTTAAAAATCCTTGCTCTGTTTCACCATGATGTTCCATTGTTTAAGAGAAGAACTTCAGAGGCACGAGTTCTGCTTTCTGAGTTGTTCACTATAACGTACCTTAAACCAATGCCGCAGTTTGGTCTTCTCTACCTTCAATCCAATATAATTTTGCCTTTATGAAATACACAGTACTCAAACCTTAGCTGCTCCCTGCCTCACACATCACACAAGCCCCAGTCTTGTGTGTCTGCAAGAAATCACATTTTTATCGGGTGTATGTTGCAGAGTATAAATTTATAGGAAAAGCAAATTTAAAGATTCCTGCAGAAATTCTGTGGCAAAGCTAGGCAGAAGTTTATTCTGAATACCAGAAGTAAGCCAAGACTGGAATATACTGCTTTCACCTCTTGCAAGGAACAAAGCAGGATCTCTGAGCTCTGCCTCCTTTTTCCAGCTTCCCAATACCCTGGCGTTAAATCATAATTTGGGGACTGACTCAGAGGAAACTGTGTAGCCTACTGAGTCACTATTCCTGAAACATCCAGAGGCAGCAACACTCTCATTGACAGCTGGCTGCCACCACCAAAGGCTTTGGGCAGCAATATCATGCTACTTCCAGCCACACAGAGATTGTGCCTGGCTGGTTTTTGCCCTGGCCAGCTTGGGAGTAGAGCCTGGAAATGTGGAAATGCAGAGGACTGGGAAAAGAGAGGATGCCAGAGAAATGTCTGCATCACAGTTCAGGCAGGAGCAGAGTCTCAGCTTCCCAACCAAGAGGAAATGGTTTAAAAAGTTCTACCTCTTCTTGGATTGCAGCTTTTTTTTATTCACATTTGAGAATTTACAGCAGGAAGCAGGGAAGCAGATGTCACATGAGTTGTGGCAGTTGCCAGCAGTACCCAATTGTGAGATACCGGGAAGATAGGAAATCTGATGGGAGAGAGGAAGGGGGTTTGGAGAGCCCTTCAGTAATTATGCTGGGATACTGCATATGGTATCACATGTGCAACAGCATAAACCCTGTTGTTAAAGGGTAATTACAGATTAAATTTGACTCCCAGATCTCAGTGACTATTTCATAAACATCTGCTGTTAAAACAAAGTTGAGGCCAGCCTGTCACGCTCCACACAGGCTACTGGAGGGGTATCCTCTATGGTGACAGGTCTTGCAGCAAAGAGAAATGTGATTAAACCCCTATAACTTTGTCACATACTGTGCCAAACATATTTTTTCCTATTGATTCCAGTAAAAGCTTGCACAGCCACCCATTGTACCCCCTAATTATCTCCATGTTAAAGGTGTTTGTCATTGCAGTGCTGGGTGACACATCATCTCTCTCTACAGCAATTCCAGCCTTTAAGCAACAGCACAATCTGAATTGCTTCTAATTTTTGTACATAAAAAATGCTTATCTTTGGTAAGGCACAAGTTTTCTTTTCATTTAAAAAATGCTTTAAAGTTATAATTTTTCTCCATAACACTAAAATCGCTGTAATAAAAAACTAAACCTCTATAATAATAATAATTTTTAAAAAACGGGAGAAAATTCTCAGTGTGAACATCATCTCTCTAACAGATACAGCATGTCTTCTTTCCTTTTACACTGCTTTATAATTTCAAAATAGCATCTGAGGACACTCTGTGCCTCAGCTCTGTGAAGGATTATTGTTCCTGAACGCAAAGAGTAAACCCCCACCAAAACTCTCTGTGTTGCTCAAATGTCAAAAAACGGCATCACATCTGACTTCAGCAGGAGACATTTCCAAGGTGTTACCTCAGGTGGACACGTCTTCTTCTCTGTAGGTGTTGAGCAGAATTATTTCCATCCATTTTTGGAGGACTGTAAATCCACTCTGTGCTGGGACAAAGAAACCCATGAGGGAT